GTGTGTGTGTGTGTGTGTGTGTGTGTGTGTGTGTGTGTGTGTGTGTGTGTGTGTGTGTGTGTGTGTGTGTGTGTGTGTGTGTGTGTGTGTGTGTGTGTGTGTGTGTGTGTGTGTGTGTGTGTGTGTGTGTGTGTGTGTGTGTGTGTGTGTGTGTGTGTGTGTGTGTGTGTGTGTGTGTGTGTGTGTGTGTGTGTGTGTGTGTGTGTGTGTGTGTGTGTGTGTGTGTGTGTGTGTGTGTGTGTGTGTGTGTGTGTGTGTGTGTGTGTGTGTGTGTGTGTGTGTGTGTGTGTGTGTGTGTGTGTGTGTGTGTGTGTGTGTGTGTGTGTGTGTGTGTGTGTGTGTGTGTGTGTGTGTGTGTGTGTGTGTGTGTGTGTGTGTGTGTGTGTGTGTGTGTGTGTGTGTGTGTGTGTGTGTGTGTGTGTGTGTGTGTGTGTGTGTGTGTGTGTGTGTGTGTGTGTGTGTGTGTGTGTGTGTGTGTGTGTGTGTGTGTGTGTGTTTATATTTCGGGGGGCCCCTAAATGGGATTTCGGCTGTCCTTTTGGTTTCCTATCACAAAGGGGGGTACCCCTCAAAAGCAGGAACCAATTTATATGCCCATATAGGCCAGGGATGTCCATTGAAAGCCTCAGCCAAGATCATGCTCTCCTTGAGGGAAGCCTGAATCGTGATCCTGGAACCTCTCTCGCCTAGAATTCTGGGTTGCCGCCTTTCCAAGTCAAAGACCTGCAGGCTGTTTTTTTTTTTTTTTTTTTTTTTTTTTTTTGTAGTTGACCCTTCATCATGGCCACGGTGTCCCTTTGGTTTCGCTAGGGACATGGCAGCCCAAAACACCTTGCAAAGGGCAAAGGGCCCCTAATATGACACTGGTTAGACTAAACAGGTATGCACACGGAAATGGAAGTTCCAAAGCTTGCAACACCTGGCCGGAGGAAGGACACCCAAAATGGGGGGGGGGGGGGGGGGCTGTCCTGTCAGTTCGAGCCAAAGAAGAGCGACTGAGAGGACTACTGAAAACCTGCCTTTTCCCTCTGAAGTGGCCTTATTCAGAAGCATGTAGAGATGTCTTGAGGGGCGGATCGCACCGATTTCTGGTTGAGCCGTGCTAACCTTCATCCGCCCAAATGTCCGATTCTGGCGGCATAGGTGCTTCCTCAGCCCGCCATCATAACTCGTCCCAGCATGAAAATGACACCTCCAGGCAAGAGTGCTAATCAACACCCGGTACTAAAATGGTCTAACCCAGAACCATGTCAGGAATTAAGAAGGCGGATATCCGCAGCTATTTATGGTTGGGATCGTCTTTTACTAAGCTTCTTCTACCCGGGTTTTGAGCAAGTGGCTCAAGTTATGATGGCTATAACCTACCCAACGTCGCCCTTTAGGCTCCCCAAACACCCACCCATTTCCGAGTGCCCCAAGTGCTGCCACAGGCTCGTGGTGGGGGTCGTTGGCCGATGTCACCTCCCGGGGGGGGTCGCTTTTAAAAAAGTCCTGGATCTCCCTCGCGTTTTTCCTCAAGTTTCGAACGGTTGTACAAATCCACGGCTTGTCTCCCTCGCCTTTAACGCCTGGACCCTATAAAGTTACCTCCTGGGACCCATCCCCTGTCTGGGAGGGCACCGGCCCTTGGGACCCACCTCGTCCACCAAGGCGTAGCTGGGGCGCTGCACCAAAAGCCGCGCCACGCTGAGGCGCTGCTGCTCCCCCACGCTGAGCTGCTCGTCCCAGCGCCGCACCGCGTCCAAGTCGCCGGCCAGGCGCTGCAGCACGCCTGCAGCCCCACCGACAGCAGCACCTGACGTCGGGGACGCTGTGGACATCCGAATTCGCTGAAAATGGTACCCACCCCCACTTCTCAGGTGGTTCCCAATTAAAACGCATGGCCATTTAAGTCACGATCAAAAACCCAGAATTAAAATGGTTCACCCGGAACCATGTAAGGAAATACAAAGGCGGATATCCACAGCTGTTTCTGGCTGGACGGTCCTTTACTAACCTTCATCTACCCGGGTTTTTATTGTGGCTCACCTGAAGTCGGGCTTTCTCCAGACGATTCCCTGGAAGCTCCCGAACGAACCAACCCCGAAATGGAAGAACTTGGTTCCGTTTCAGGATCGGCCTTCCGGGAGCTTCCATATTAGTTGGCCATTAGTTGGCGGGAGGGTAAGCATTCGGTCCTTTTCGGGAGCGCGTTCGCCTTCCAACCGGGCCTCGTGTAGATAGGCATCATCAGCTGCCACCTTTGGGTTTGGATACAGCAGTTGCTCTCGTAGGGTGCCCAAGCTCATATACGGCCTCTGCGGCAAGAAGAGGACGTGGCCTTCTCGCATTTCACGCTTGATCTCCCCCGTGCCTTTCAGGACAAGGAGACTTCTGCAAGGAACCAATGGGCACTTTACAAGGCGCCTCAGGGGGCAATTATCCAAAAAATTGCTTGTCAGTGGGGCGGGGCTGAGCCCCAGATCCCCCCCCCCTTTTTATACCGGAAAAAAACCCTCTCATGTGCGCGCCTTTGTGCCACAAGCCCGCGAGGGCGCGCAGGAGCGTGGTCTTCCCCGCTCCGCTGGGCCCGGAGATGAGCAAGCCCCCGCTCGCCGGAGCTTCGAAGCACAAATCCTTCACCTCAGGGGGCCAAGCTTCGGGGGGATCTTGTTCGATGCCTTTAGGCACAAGGCGGTAGAGCAGAAGCAACACCTCTTCAAAATCTGCTCCCCTGACTTTTTTTGGCTTTTTTGTCAATGTCCAACACCCTGGCAGGGTTTCAAGGGAACATCCCTTTTGGCCACCCCCCACCAAGGTGCGATCCGCCAGGCACAGCGTCAGGCCTTTCACTTCCAGCCACGGCTCCTGCTTCCCCACGGCCTGGATGCGAATCCTCGACGTCTCCGCCGGATCTTCCAGCTGCTCCAGGTGATAGCTGTGCAGCTCCAGCGCCACCGCGCTGAGCCGCGAGAAGTCCGAGCAATTGTCGGCCACCAGCAGCAGGGCCCTGACCACCGCGTCAAAGGCCTCGTTCGCCTGGTTCAGAAGAGCCGCATCCTGTGCCACACCGGCGACCTGTACCTTTGCTGCTTAAAAGGAACTATGAGGGGAATCCAAAAAGTGGAAGTCTAAAGATCCAACCCAATAGCAGTAGAGGTACCAAGACCAAGGAGGGGCTCAGGCTCAAAGCCTGTCGATATTGATCCTGGACCAGCTGCACCACATCCTTGGCAGCCAGGCGCTTCCACTCGCTCGCCTGCCGCTCCTGCAAGGCTCCCTCGGCCCGCTGGACCTCGCGCCCTTCGCCGCCGAAGAAAAGAATGGATTCCTCGGCGATTCCGTGATCCATCCCTGGCTACACAGCTTAAGAACGACAGAATGACCAACGAGGAGAAAAAAAAGACAGCTTCGAGGTCCCTCGAAAAACATAAAATCTCAAAAACGACCAAAAACAATGAGGAAAAACAACAGCTTCGAGGCCCCTCAAAAAATATGACATCTAAAAAGCCACGGGAGCCGAATGGCTTTCCTTTCGCCCCAGCGTCCGCATTTTCCCGCATCCGCGTGAGCACATAGATGAACATGCCATCAGCGGCGCGCTCCGCAGAGTACAATGCGGGCAACTCTCGACCCAGCCACTGGGTTAGGAGCGTGCCGAAGGTGGCGGCAAACACGGCAAGGCGCGACAGGACGGGAGACAGGGTCCACAGCAAGCGCGAATAGAAGTAAAGATCCACCAGCGCCTGAAAACCATCCAAAGCCAAAATGGTCGCCAAGGACGTGAATTTGCCAACCTGCACGTCTGACAGGTCGGCCAAAAAATTAACATTGTTTGGGTGTTCACGAACCAGCAGGAACAAAATGCGGCAAATCCAGACCGAAACCGCCGGCAAAGCGGCGTCGGCCGCAATTCGTTGATCCGGATTCCGATCGTCGTGCTCCTCCTCACGTCTGGCCCTATGCCCGAAGCACTGGGCCTCCAGAAATTTGCCTGGCAGCAGTCGAGTCCGGGTGTTGGGAAGGAACGTTTTGGGATTCCCTGCAAGGAAACCATAGGGGATGGTTTTTGTTTACCCTCCATCCATAGGATGCCGCCCCCCTCCACTAATCCACTGGCATGTCAGTCATGCAGGATCTGTTTCAAAACTGGTGAGCACCGAACCAAGGTGAGACGAGTTCAGATTCCCCCGGTCCAGCCTAGAAAATGCTTTGTGAGGTGACCTTCCCACTGTAGGCGAAGACCACGGAAAAGTCGGTAGTAGAGCCTTCCCAAGTAGAGGGCTCTTCAAGCATGGGCAAGCCTATGATTTCGGACGACTCTTCACTCTCATCACTTGCAAACTGCTCGGCTACTTGGTGGTGGCCTGCTGACAGGACTCAGAACCAGTATTGCGGCCAAGTACCTCAGCTGAGCTAGCATCACCTCCTTGAAGTGGCAAGCTTAAAATGAGGGAGATAATTTTCGGGCCCCCCCCCTCCCAACCAGGAAGGTTCTCAGAGCCCTTTTTGGGAACAACCCCCCCCCTTTACAAGAAGGGCTAGGTCTTCCCGCGGAAAAGTTGGACACCGATCACCTCGGCTGATATTCCCCCGATTTGTGTTTGTTTGTTTTTGCTTTTTTTTTGTGGGAGATCAGCTTGCAGTAGCCTACTCCCAGGTTAACATAGAATCCAAAGATCCATCAGGATCAACATGGGCTTTGAAACGAAGGTTTCAAGGGCCCCAGGTTTGTTGGGGGCAAACGAACACAAACCGAAGTCTCTTCATGCCAAGCTTCAGCTGCTATACGAGCAAATGCCTCTGCTCGGCACCTCCAATCACCTTAAAAAAGGCACCACAACTCGGATGCCTTGCTAGTGGACGATTGAGGTCACGGCTGTCCCACCAAAAAAGCCGAATCAAACAAACAGCTGCATTCCATGGGTTTGATTTCGCCTGCGGCCCAACGACTGCCACTGACGATGTTCTCTTTAAAGCTTCCATGATATGAGCCAAGAAATCTCGGACAGCAGCTCAAGAGTCGGTGGCAGGTGGTGAAATGGCTCATGCCAAACCCACACGCTGCATTTTTGCACCAAGCAAATTGAACCTTCAAAAGCTCTGAGCATACCGTGCAAAGCCAAGAGCTAGCACTAGGCGAACATGCATGAATTGATAAAGAAACATGTTTCCCGGGTCCATATGGCACACTCTATCCGGAACAGCACAATTATTGTGAGACGGTCTTGCCACAAGAAACGAAAACACATCGCCACATGGCAGGGTGAATTAGAAGGCAGCCGCCTCCATGCATTTGAATTACTTGACGTGCAGCGCTTCAGTCACGTCAGCCGCTTTTGAGGCTGGTCCACCATTGTTGTCATTGTGGCTGTCACAGTTTATCCCTTGGTCCCAGCGAATCATTCCAATGGCCAACACCCCTCGATTCGTGCACATCACGCTCAAGAGATGACGCAATTCTCACTGCGTCCTCTGGTGGTGCCCGTGCTAAACCTCAGATCCATGCAAGCTCGCCGGGGATCTATGTACGCTCTTCCGGCCACACCGCAAAGGCAAGTCAAAGCCCATGGCCGTGACTACCCAACAGTCACAAAAACATATGAAGAACACGGACTGCTCTCAGGACGTCGCGGTCCAAGTCTTCAACCCCTATGGCAAACAAGTGAAGTCCAATAGGTTCCAGGCCCCAAACGTTCGCAGTGAAGCACCCCCCCAAAAAAAAAGAAGAGCCACTTCAGCAAGAGTTTTTTCCATAGGAACGCTAGGGGCTTCCGACACTGCTGATTCCAAGGTAGTTGCAGCCTTGGAGCGAGCGCTTCTGGCTACCCCGTCTTCCATCCTTGGAGGAAAAGACATCTGCCGTGCAGGCTGCATGCCCCACATCTGGAATCCTACCCAACACCCTCTTGAAGACAAGTCGCCGACGCCATGCGGTCCGAACTGCCTCTGTGGCCCCTTCTGCAGCGATCACCTGGAATTTCCGCAAAGACGTCCGACAAGGAGAGATCCTCAGCCTGAATCATCGCCACCAATGCCGTGGTGTCATCCGCATTGTTCGCCGGGACTGCGCTGGTGTTGTTTTGCCAAGGGGGCCTGTCCATGTTGTCTGGGCCCAACCGCACGCTCTTGATAGCAAGGTCCACCAATGCTGCTGCTGCCTCGTGCAACTCGTCGTTGGAACCCGAGGCTCTGCAACATCTTTCCAGGACCTGCTTGATGTCCAAATCCGACAAGTTGTCGAAAAGCCCATCCGTGCCCAGAACCAAGAAATCTCCTCACCGCGATCACGACTTCGACCGGAAGGGAGTGATTTGAGCAGAGTTCAAGAATTTGTCCGGAGCTAATTCAACTATATAGAGCACGCCCGCAAACAACCCACCATTTTGCAGTGTAAAAGGACAATGGAGGAAACCCAAACGGGCAAAAAGGAAAAAATGCAAAAGGGCGAAAAGGCAGAAAGGCAAAAGGGCAAAAAGGCAAAAAAGGGGGGGAAAAAAGCAAAAAATCGCCTGGCGTGTTTTCGCCAGGAGGGGGGGGGGGGTACTTGTCTGGGCTGTCCCCAGATTTCCGGCCAAAGTTTCAACTTTTAGCTGGCCCAACGGCAACCCAACCACCAAACCGACTAAAAACCTGAAAAACACTACCTGAGGAGGAAAAAACATACTCAAGAAAAATACAAAACCCGCCAAACCGACTCAAAACCTCAAGGAAAAAAAGAAGAAGAAAAAAAAATAACACAAAGAAAACAAAAAAGGGGTGGAAAAGAAGAAAAAAACGTCAAACCGACTCAAAACCTCAAGAGGGGAGAAGAAAAAAAAGAAGAAAAACAAAAGGAAGGAGAAAAAAACAACCAAAAACCTCAAGGAAAAAGAACGAAAGAACCACCCAAGTTTTGAGCCACAAGTCCCTTGCCCGACCCTGTTTTTCTCCGAGAGGCCTTGCAGCCCATGCACCGCAAGCTCTTCGTCACAAACTTGGCCAGGGCGTTGCCTGCCGGCGAGATCAACGCGGGGAAGGGGGGGGATTGGGGGTGGGGATTGGGAGAGGGATTGGGGGGGGGGAGGGGGGGGGATTCTCATCAAGTCCAAGTCCATTTCGAATCCAATGCAATTGCGGGAAACCTGATTCTTGGTCAACCGGCCACTGAGTTCAACTTAGGTGTTTAGTGGGGGAGAGGGGAGGGGGGAGGGGGGGGGGGCGCACAGAAGGCTTGGTCCTTACGAAATGCAAGTGACTTCCTCAAAAAATATTCGGCTCTACATGGGTGAGTCCTTCTTTTGAGGCTCCCCCCAAAAAAAAACAACAAGGCTTCGGTGGTCCTTTTGGTTGCCCCTGTTAAACCACCAAAAACGTGTACCCTCCCCCAAAAAAAAAACGAGGAGCCACAGCCACCTGGTGGTTTGTCAAGGGAGAACTGCTCAAAGTCTTGATTTTTGCATCATGGACCCCAGTCCCTACCCCCACCACCAGAGGCGTGCCTTGAGGCGTGGGCGTGTGCAGCTTGCGCGTATGGGCGCCGGAGAAGAGCAGGGACTGCGCTTTGCTGTCGTCACCTTCAACGAGTCCCCCCCCCCACCTTAAGGCCTGAACCAATGGAGATCTCCAGACGGCCATCCCCTCTTCCCCAATCAACCCATGTTCAAGGGTGGGGATCTCGCGCTTGGCGAAAAGCGAAGAGCGCGAAATGTGGAACGATGCAACCCGAGGAACCCATGATGGGACCGAAGATTCGCAGAAGTGGAAGCTGGAGCTGATGTTCAATATAATACTGCGCATCAATAGATAAATTGTTCCTCAGTGCTTCCCAGCAGCCGGGACAGAAATCATTCCCTGCATTCAGCTTCCAAAAAAAGCCAGAGTGCTAAGGGGGGGGTGCTGAAACTCCCGTGGCGACTGGGAGAACAAAAGCAAGAAGCTGACAATGCACATGCCAAGCATCTCCAGGGCAAAGAGAGGGTCCTCACTGCGCTCGTAGGCCTCAGCAAGCCAAGCTTGCACTCTGCGTCCCTCTTTCAGGGGTTGCATTCCTCACGGAGTTTCTCAAAAACTTCTGTGTGTGGGTGTGTGTGTGGGTGTGTGTTTTTCTTTACCCTCAGTCTGCCCTTCAGCCACACATTTTAACACATTTTACGCAAACCAAAAAAAAAGAGCATCTTTCAAATGACCCCACCTCCGACCTCCGACCTCCGACTCTCCCAAGCCTCGGATCAAACGCACCCCGCCCGCAGCGCCTTGGCGCCCTTGGAGCCGCTCACGATGACGTATGGCACCCGGTCCCCGCTGCCCGGCGCCGTCGTCGGGTCACGCCTCGCACGACCAATTGCCGACCGAATCGCCGGCCGAATCGCCGAGGAAGGACCAAGACGCCCGGGCCCGCAGAACGGGGGGTCTCAACCACGTCAAAAAAAAAAAACGGTTTGGGCCCTGGAGGATTCATATGTCGAGGTGAAACCCAGGCAAAATATACTCAAAATCCGTCTTCCGCACAAACGAGGCAGCCGCAGAATGCCCCAAGAATCATGAGGCTTGCGCTTTCGCATGCGCTCTGCCAGCTCCACGTGAGCTTGCTTCACCGCGTAGTCCTGGCATTGTGTCAACATAGGCAATGGACCCCCAACACTCCGATGCCCAGTGGCCATGGGAAAAAAAGGGTTGCCCTTTTCAACCTCCCCAAAAAGCTGGAAGAAAATCCGTCAAAAAACTCAATTGTTGTCAGCAAATGATGCTACTTCAGCGAGCGGGCCTCCGCATGTGCCCCTCTGCCCAGGGACCTAAGATGGTGCAGAACCACCACGCGCAAGGGCGTGGTTCTAGAACGACGGGAACCTTGACAACCCTCAACCCGCATGTTTCAAATATGCATAATTGATAAATGTACAAATAATACCATTTGTTTGATGATATACATATAATGTCCAATCACCTTATCTGCTATCTCCACTACAATCTTATCATTATAAGAGCTATTGCAAAGCGAGCCGCTTCGTGATCACTAGCAGGGAGAGGTCGATCTTGTTCTGCAGCAGGTCGGAGACCTCATGCCGCGCCCCACGCCCACAGGCCACGCGCTCGCTGGCGAAACTTTTTTGAGTCACCGGCAGCCTTCTGAGCGATCTCGATGGCCTGCATCCCCGACAAGGATCCTTACATTATACACCTTTAAATGGTAGTTTACATTATACACCTTACATTATACACCAACAAGGATCCTTGTAAATGGTGGTTTTCCTCTATTTTGAGGGAAAAGGCCATGTTTCAAATGGTTGCAAAATGTATCTTTTTAAGGAGCGAAAACCTGGCAATTCAAGGGGCCCAGCGACCAATCGGAAGGCCAGAGGAACCGATAGGCGTTTTTTGTTTTTCAGGGGCCTACCCAGTGAAGAATCGGAAGGCCAAACGAACCTGTTTGTGGTTGGGAGCAACCTAGCACCCTCCGCTTGACAATTGGGCGTGGCTCAAAATGAAACGGGGGCCAAGCGCAGGTGTCCACTTGCCAGGGTTCCATGTTGGTACCGGTTTTTTGAGCCACCGCCAATTAGGTCTTGCTTGTAGGCTATGCCAACGCCTGGCCTTGGGCACAGACCCATCAATGAGGATTGTCCTCAGCGATGTCTCCACCAGCTGCCGTACGAGATCACCTGTGCCGAAACGGTCCATCCCGAGAATCAACGGTCATTGCCCTTGCGATCATTACCCTCCCGCCAAGTAACATGGAAGCTGTCAGGACCCCCCCCCCGGCCAGGTTCCATGTCAATTGGTGGGAGGGTACATTCCGCCACCAATTCAGCTTCTCTTGCCCTCCTCTCGCCAAACCTCTTGCGCCCGTGACTCCTCTTTTTTGGGCAGGGGGCAGTTGTCGCGGCGAACCGTCTCAATGCCCTTCGCATCGAGCTTGTCGTACTTCTCCGGGCTGGTCCAATACAGGCCAGCGTACCGCCTTGCCACCATTGAACTGCCAAAGCCCTTCGGGTCATGAGCCGAGCGCCGGGCTTTTTGTTCATCAGCAGGTAAGGGTAATACACCTTCATACCCCATCGCCAACATGACCAGCACAATGTCGGCTTCCAATCAGATCTTGGAAAAGGCGCCCCTCTCACAAAGCAATGCTTCAAGACTTGAGTGCGCCTTCTCAAACTCGAGCTTGATTGGCTTGGTGAAAGTTGCACTCACCAAATCCTGGGCTTTCGGGGCCGGCACTCTCAATTTCCGGCACTCCGACAGCTGAACACAATTCAAACAGCCTCCGACATCATAGCATCCAACACCCACCCACCCACCCACCCACCCACCCACCCACCCACCCACCCACCCACCCACCCACCCACCCACCCACCCACCCACCCACACACACACACACACACACACACACACACACACACACACACACACACACACACACACACACACACACAC